TCTTTTTCCAAACTCTGAACTTTTCAGAGTGCAATTTCGAAATCATGAAAATATTTTGTTTCACATCAAATTCAGTGATGGTCACTGCACTTACTTCCTTATGCCTGTTACCCCCAATGGAGCATAGACAGCCGAACAACATTCTCCAATCCATTCTGTCCAGCGTCTTTCTTTCCAGTTCTATCGAATCACTGTTCAGTATTTTCATGTCCGCTTCGATTCTTGAAGTAATGATTGTTTGGTCTTCTTCTTTTCCATTGACCTTGAGGACTCCAAGTTTGGGCTTGTACTGTGACGCAGCTGGGTGATTTCTTCAAAGTGCGTTCTATCTACCTTCGGTGCTTTTTCTTAATTCCTTCTTCAGCTGGAATATTATTTGTCCTCTCCAGCAGTAACTTGTTGTTGATGGTGTCTGACCAACGGATCTGCATTATGTTGCATAAAAAACTGTTAATAAACACCTCCATCTTTCAAATGATAGCTTTCTTAGTTCTCCTAATGTCCGCTCCATCGGGTAGAACTTTCTTGACATTTCGATTGAATATTGTGATTTGTTGATAGCTGTTTTGAGTTGTAGATGTTCATCGATTGTAGAAGTGCTGCTCTTGCTTTGTAAATTCATGTACTTAAATATGTATTGGGTAAACCCTGTTTATCAATGATGCGGCCTAGATATGTTAAAGTTTCTACATCTTCCAAAGATTCTTCATCTTGTGTGATTTGGTCGGTATCTGTCATGTTGTATCGGATGATCTTGCTTTTTCCCTTGTGTATGTTGAGACCTACCAGTTCAGAAGTCGCCACTGCACCAGCCGTCTTCTTCTGCACACGCTTATATACAATAGATAGATTAAGCCTAACAATAAAATCCATAATGTGCATCTCGTTCTGTTTTTTGGAATCGTTAACGATTTAATATTCACCGCCGTATTGGTACCCAGTACACTCGGTTTCATATATTTAACTCATTGGTCAATGATTTGAAATATTCCACTTTTTATATTTTAGTTGAATTTCAATCATTCTTATTTTGCATATTGAAAATACCACAACAAATTAAAAATTAAAACTATTGCTTGTGGACTAAGTAACTTACTAGTTTATTTGTTGAGGTTTTTGAAGCAAGAGATAATGGGTTTCTATCCTAGGATTAATATTAACTCTGGGATTTGACATAAAAATCCAGTTTACGTGTCCCAAATAAGAGGAAAAAACGTCCTAGACTCCATTACTAGCTAAAATCCATCTGTTCTCTTATAAACATATATCATCATGCTTTTCTATTGGTTGTTTCATGTTTCGGACTACAAATGATCAGTCTCTTTAGTATATGTACATCCTGTGAGGACTGCATCGATACTGCCTTCAGTTTACAAGCATTATTAGTAGAGATGTATGGTGGTTAGGAGTAGAATTCGGTACTCATCAAATTTCAGTCAAACTATCAACAACGGTGGAATTCCAAATTATTAAAAACTAAATTCACTATACACATTTCTAGATAAATTGAAATATATTTAGTTAGAGGGTTTTAACAAATTATATTTAATACTATTAAGTTCAATTTTTACCAAAATGACAAGAATAATTTCTTAAGTTAACGAAAATCATTATTTATTTATTTCAAAACAAATATAATTAACACAGATGATAATCGGATCATGAAAATAATTCATCTACACATTTTTTAATATTTATGAATAAGAATATCTTTCTTTGTAAGCTCAACACGGTCAGGTTTTTGATGTGATAAATGAAAATTGAGGATATGTTTTACTTTTTAAATTGCATTCTTTAAACTGGATGATTTTGTTTAGAAAGTTTTGATGATTCATTAAAACAGTATCATCAGGATAAACTTCAAGTAGAAGTAAGCTAATGGAATTTCACAAATAACTAACAGTTTTTTTTCTTAACTTTGAAATTGATTGGTTGTTACTGACACTTATCCTTTCATCCATTGTACATTTATTTTCACCGTCTTCATACACAGGCAATAAAAGAGCATTGAAATCATGAATTGGTCAACGTTAGACTGTCAATGACTGTATGAAACTTGAAAAAGTTGAATTCTCAGAGTTCTAGTAAGTAGCTATGACCCACCGAAGACAATGGATAAACTTTCGCAATACCTTGGATTGATTGCTCTTAGTTACACCATTGGATTCCAGATCAGTGATCTAGAGAATAATCGTTTGCACTGGAGACTGTAAGTCTTGGGTCGTCAATGAGCACTGCTGGTGAGTCCCAAAACTAGGACGAAATGGTTATCCAGTGCTTCGTAATTTCTAATTGTGACCTAACATTGATCGATTTATGATTTCTGTGAAAGTCAACAATCGCCATAACTTTATGATGATAATAACAGAATAGTTGTTGATGAAGGCCAACCGATTCCAGAGTCGTAATAGATTATTGAATTGACTGCTTACTTACTTAATTACTTATTTATCAAGATCTAGTTGTTATTTTCAGTATCTCTCAATTTGATGAAATTGTAGAATTTGGCTCAATTTGCGAAATGAGTGCAAAACTTTGTTCAACATGTAATTTTCATAAATCCATGATATTATAAGTGATCGGAAATAATTAACAGGAAACTCTGTTTAACTTGCGTTTGATTGTCGTCAGCATAGCCTACGAGATCCAAACTCGTGGGCACGCTCTACTGAAAAGCACTGATTAGCACACAATCTAGATCAAACAGAGTTTGCTAATGACTATTTTCAGATATCTAACATCAAAGTATAGTTTATATGATATCAAATCAATTATACTAGTGACCGCAATTTACAATCAACATTCAGTCAATATGTATAGTATCACTGAAACACAAATATCACATTTGTAATTGATAAGTAATGTTAATTAACTAAATATGAATTATATACATTCATTATTCAAAATTATTACATTTCCAGTATATCGACATATATATACAGAAACACATATATACTGATTTTCACAGAAACAATAGAAATGGGATAAGTTATAGTTTCTCAATAAGTTATAACATTGAAACAAACGAAGACATTATCTTAAACTACCTAACAAAATGTGCATATTCATTGTATCATCTGGTTAATAGATATATTACAATAAAGTATGAAGTAGATTGTATCCCATCACTAGACCACCACTAATGTTAATAACAATAAACTTGTTAGATTAATTTTCTAATAGGCTAGTACATTTCATTACTTAGTAGCATATATAATCAACAATAATGTATTGTGTGCTTAATATGCTGTCATTGGATTTTGACATTTGAAACGTGTAGTAAATTGTTCTTGCTTGTGGTCGGTAATTTTGTTTTAAATATTATCCATATATTTCTTGTAATGAGTGAACCAGAAAACCAAAGATATACATTGATGTATAAATGTTAACAAACAAGAAAATCTGGATTAAACATAAGTTACTGCCAGTTTTTACAGATTATTTAAGGTTTTCATATAGACCAGCTTATGATGATCAGGGTAGTTAAAGTTTTTAGTCATTCAACGAATTTCAGTTTTCCTTTTATATGCGGATTTGCATCAATATGGAGCCGTCATTGTTTGCATTATACGGTTTGAGATTATTAGGCTTTTACTGGGATGCGTTACTTTAGTGGTCAGTAATCTGACTCGAATTTAAACGAACAATTGTATATGCCATGAAATAAATCTTCCCGTCAATTTCCATATATCATTCTTAGGGAAACTTCGTTTGTATGATGGCAATAATAAACCAAATACGGATTCACCTGGATGAATTTATTCCATGCAATCGTTCACACAGACAGACATGAGAATAAAGATTGCACAAGCAAAGCAAAGAGAAGTGGAAAAGGCAAGCGAGCCGATTCAATGTGATGATGCATAACTAAGTATTGATAGTTAGACACAAATAAGCTATATATATATGTGACAAGCAAAGTAAGCAATGTAGATTCTCACTCAAATAAAATCAACTAAGGCATAAACGAATAACTGACAAGTTCTAAAAGTGTGTGAATGACTCGAGAAGAATGGATTAATTAATTTGCTCAAAGGTTAGGACAAGCTCTGTAGGCTAAACTTATTTGCACATACACTACACGCTCAATGTGTCAACACAATTCTTCTAAGTATTTAAAATTTTCTTTGTGTCAAAAAACTACCTTGTTCTTAATCATGGAATACATTACCCGAATATTGTGACATTGAATCGTTTTTGGAAGTGAACTCTCAGCCTAATCAAATCGAGTGTTATATAAAATTTTGAATAAGTCCAAAGGTAATTTAAGCTATAATTCAAAAAAAAAAAAAACAATAAACATAAAATGTACAGTTAAATATTTTTTTCTTACTACCACAAAGAATAAAACTGTGAGATATCCGAAATAATTCCAGCAATTATCATTACCAAAACAAAATGATAATACCAATAATAAGATTGATTATTTGAAACTAGAAATAAATCTCTATTAGATATTTGACATTTTTAATTAAACTAAATCTGGTAATCGATTATTTGTTTGTGAAACCCAAAAAAGAACACAAAATATGATAATACACTCAGTATACTATGAAAAAAACATCAAGAATAAATGCATAACTGTGTTCATCCAGGACCATAACCAAAGATTGAAATGAGAATATTTAGTTATTACGTAAAATATAATGATGTTGTATAGGTGATTTGTAGTCCAAGGTTTTATATTGTCAACTTCCGTTCAATCACCCTGTACCGTAACGATTATTAATGAATTTTCAATGCATAAACAGATGTTAGTTCATTATTTCAGTCTATATTACCCAAATTGTATACGTAGTACTTATATTTTAGAATGTAATAGAAAGTCTAAAAGATAAGCATCTATTGGTCCATAAAATATGGCATCTATTTCATTTCGACTGACTTTATCGAAGACTAACAAAAATCATATTCTTTTGACCAATAAACAAGCAATATTCTAACAACCAATTGAATCATTCATGCCTTAAGGTCACTACAAATTTTTTATATAGAAAAGTTGCATATTAGATTTTTAAATTTTATGTGATGAAGTTGTGAATCTTTTTATACCTGTCAATTTTAAAGAGATTTTTGGTGAGTAGTTTTTATGTATATACAGTTTGGTATTTATTTTGTTTTTATTTTATTCTGTCGTTTTAAGGTACTTTCTAAAAATTGAAGTATTTCAATAATATTGATTAATATACAACAAGCATATGCATAATTTCGAAATAAAAGCATCTCATTCATAAATCTTTGTCTAAGAATGTTTAGTAGTTTATGTAGACATGATTTATTTGATTGTAAATATACATTCATGATTTATTTCTCACTCACTTGATATGGGATTGAATAGTTAATCTATCAGAGTATGAAAAATGAAACATTCACTAGTATGCATCGTTAACTTAGATAACTTTATCAATCAATCAACTATGTTCATTTATGTATAAGAACGGTTATTCTTATGATGTATGTGACTTAGGACGCTAATAACCGAACATATGGCAATATTATCACTGACTGAAAAGTAACTAGCTTTTTATAAATATTTAAAAAAGATTGTAGTTGGCAAAGTACCTATGAAGCACGTTTTGTTTTATTTGGGATCTATCTGATTTCAACTCATCATTCCTTATTACTAATAATGAGTTCTTAGTTAATTCATTTTAAAATCATCTGAAATTTTTTTAACTCTGTGAATTTTACTCACCAGTTCTGGAACTTCCCCTACCAGATTTTATATATCTGTAACACGTTTTTATTACCTCATTAATTTAACGACAATCCTGGCTACTTCACGATATAAATATTCATGTATCATCACTTTCGTGTCTATAAGTTCGACAAACTCTACTATAGTTCTGATTTGAAAATACTATAACGTTGCAACTAGTTTAAGAGAGTATCACTAACATACATATATACTTACTTAATTATATACGCCTGTTACATCCAGTCGAGAATAGGTCGCCAACCAGCATCCTATAACCTATTCTGTACTAGGGCTCCCTTTTCAGTTTTGTCCAATTTTTGTTCATTCTTCTTATGTCTTTCCCTATTTCTCGGCGAAATTTGTTCCTTGGCCTTCCTCTTTTCCTTTCACCTTGACGGTTCCATATGAAAACTTGTTTCGTGACGCAGTTAAGCGCTTTTCGCAGTGTGTCCTATCCACTTCCATCGCTTCTTCCTAAGTTCCTCTTCCACTGAAATCTAGTTTGTTCTCTCCCACAGTAGGTTGTTACTGATGGAGTCTGGCCAACGGATCTGAACTATTTTATGTAGACAGCTTTTAATAAATATCTTATGGATGATGGTTTTGGTAGTTTTCCAAGTTTCTGCTCCATACAGTAGAACTGTCTTGACATTTGTATTGAAAATCCTGATTTTGGTGTTGATTGTTATTTACTTGGAGTTGGAGATGTTCTTCAATTGTAGAAATGCTGTCCTTGCTTTACCGATCCGCGCCCTCAAATCTGCATCGGATCCACCATGGTTGTCGATGATGCTGCTCAGATATGTGAAGGCTTTTACTTCCTCCAAGGCATCTCCATCAGGCGTGATTTGATTAGCGCATGTTGCATTGCATCAGAGAATCTTGCTTTTCCCTTTATGTATGTTGAGACGTACTGCTGCTGAGGCTGTTGCTACACTGGTCGTCTTCTCTTGCATTTGTTGTTGCGTGTGAGATAGAAGAGCCAGAACATCTGCGAAGTCCAGCTCGTCCAGCTGCATCCTAGTTGTCCATTGGATACCGTGCTTCCCTCCAGTTTTCGACGTCTTCATAATCCAGTCGATTACCAGGATAAAGAGAGACAGTGAGAGTAAGCAACCTTGCCTGAGACCGGTCTCCACGTCGAACGATTCTGTTAGCTGTCCTCCGTGCACGATTTTGCAGTTTAATCCATAGTGAGAATTGCGTATGATGTTAACTATTTTCGCAGACACTGTGTAGTCGCGAAGAAGCGTCTATAGTGTCATTCTGTCTACGCTATCGAATGCTTTCTCGTAGTCAATGAAGTTGGCTCCAATTGTTGGTGGGCCGACTTTGATTGGAAGGCCGTGGATGCTGCTTCGAAGTTGGGTGTGTTCGTTGAGGCTGGTCGATTCAGGAGTTCCTTAGGGTACGCTGCCCACTTGATTCGCTGTTTTTCAATGTTGTTGATGACTTCGTCTTCCTTGGTTTTCAGTGGTCGTTATGATTTACGATAGTTTCCAGCGAGCTTCTTTATTGTATCGTACAATTGTTTCAAGTTTCCTTCTCTTGTAGCGTTTTCTGCCGTCATTGCTAGATCTTCCACATATTTTCGTTTGTCAGTTCTGATGCTCCTCCTCACTTGCCTGTTTGTTTCTGTGTATTCAGCTTATGCGGTAACTTTCTCTGTTCTTGTTTGGCTGATGTTGATTGCAGCCTTCTTGTTCTTCCTTTCTTGAATCTTATCCGGAGTACCAACAGAGATCCATTCCTTGTGGTGGTACTTCTTCTGATTCAGACCCACCTGACATGTTGAAGTGATTGCCTCTTTGATCCCTTTCGAACTGTTCTCCATGGTTGTTGCCTCTCCATTGAGTGAATCGTGAAATGCCTGGAACCTATTGCTGTGGGCTAACTCTATGTCGTTTTGTTTCCATTAATTATTTTTTTGGTTTGCGTTTTATGAACAAGTTAGTTTTCCACGGGATGTGGTCGCTTACCACATGCACAAACCTCCACTTTCAGCAATAAAATGTTTCGAAGGAACAAAGAGGATGTGAGAACTAATATAGGAGCTGAGATAGCCTCAGATCAGCATTTGCTGGTCGCCAAGATGAAACTGAAACTCAAAAAGCACTGGATATCGGGGCGGATAACATCACAAAATTTTAATACGGACTTTCTTTGGGATGCTGGAAATTTCAAACAATTTAAATTTGTTCACACTATTCTGCTCTAATCTTTATTTTTTCCTCTGCTTGAGATTGTCTTTTTGATGTGCTTGCGTTCTAGTTTTGGTTTTGACACTCTTAGATTCAATACTGATATGTACTTGCATCAAGTCGGTCAGTCCAAAATATGATGTAACTCATTGCTTCATTTCTATTTCTAGCCAAAACGTTTATTTGTAGAAAACTTTATGGAAAATATGCTTTCTAGATTTTGAACATACACCAAAATACATGGAATTTTAGTTAGTTATATCAAAAATTGAATAATTCAATCACTTTTTTTCAATGTTAACGTAAACAGTAAGTTATGTTACCAATAACAAAGTGTTTACAATTTCAAGCAGCATTTATTTTAAAAATGTTTTATGAATGAGTTACATGTGTAAACTACTTAATCAAGTATCACTGAAACGTAAAAACGATTTTCTCAAAATTAATAATGAATGTAGAAAAAAGTCATTTAACCACTTCTTATCACACATAACACTACTAGAGCTTTAACAAACATTTCATTAAAGAGGCTTGAAATATTTTATGATAATTAGATTACATTGCTATAATTAATATGAAGGTGAATACATTGGGATCTTAATTGTTAAGTTTGATAGACTTACGTTTAAATATTTTGTATAGAAAACTGTGTACTTCATTTCTACTGGTTGTCAAAAACAGAACAAATCATTTACTCAAAATACGAATATGGTAGCATCACTAGTAAGCTGCAGTATTTTTTTTACCAAGATAATTATTCCAACTCTTCAAATGAATGACAGAAAGTAGAAACAATGTCATTCATTAACAATCTTCATACTTCTATTTAATACACTCTCTAAATTCGTACCAACCGCAATATAGATAACAAGTGACACTGCCACTTCCAATCAGAATAAACATTTTCATACGAGAGAATCGAATTTTAATATTCCTAATGGTAGGTGTTTTAGACAAAAGGAGTAGATGGTGTCCTTAATCAGTTAGTTAAAAACTCATGGCAACCAATATTTTTCTGATCAAAACGACTTTCTCAGGAACTAGATATTACACTTTCGAATACAAAATTCTGACGATTTACAAGATTAGTGAGCACTTTCAACTCATATTAGAAATTAAATGTCAGTAAAATAAAATAGAACACGTTTAAATTAAAGACAATCGGTTGACTGAACAGATTGTGGTTTGATATCACATTATTAATGTTCACAGTCAGAAAATTAACTAACAAATGACTTATTTCACTGTAAGTCAAGAAAATGTCTTATAAAATGAAATAATGAAATTTATAACTTTATCAGCTTGATAGAAAAGGCTTCAACTTTGAAAATTTGGCCTTTGAAATTATGAATAAAATATATTGGTTTACAATTAAGTTTGATTTAGTTTAACCTTCTGGTGAACAATGATAAATAAATACTTAAAATTCACATGCCATTCAATACTACTAATATATCATTTTGTTTAAAGGGTTTTTATTGAAATTAATAATCGATCATTGTTAGATCACCATTAGAAACCTGGAAGCGCAGGAAGGCTCGTTCATCCTAGCATGGGACTTATCAGCAGTGTGAATCCACGAATACTTCAAGTGGAAATAGAACGCAGGACCTTCGGTCTCGCATCCAAATGATTAACCTCTGGAGCACTGGGCTGGCATTCAATGGTGTTTAGTGTCTAGTTGATAATCAAGCTAAGGTTAGATACCTCACACCCGACTGGATTGAATTCCACCGGTTTTGTCTTTGCATTAGATTTCCGAGGATTTCCTAACGAAGCTAGTCATTAGTGAGCGAATTTGTTGCTTGTACACTACATCATTAAATCTAATTTACAGCTGAGTATTATTTTCATAATATTTATAAACATCAAAAGGTATTTTCTCAAATTCATTCATATCCTTATTAGTGTTATTATTTGTTTGTTGTTATTGAATTCCCTAGGCTAATTGTTTTAATTGTCTAGTGAATTACTTTTGTTCCGGACAGTATCAACTTTGCCTACTTTATGTGGAATTCAGATAGATATATATAGATATATCACAAGTGTGAATTTGATTTGTAGCAAATTTGGATCTAATATGGAATAAATGACTATGAAATCTGTAATGACAAACATAACACTTGTGAAGTAAATAAGAAATTCACTTTTAAATAGAGTAAACACTGATGATATTG